AAAAAAAAAGGCTCTCATCGCCACAGGGGGCAAAGAAATTTCGCCTTTTGCCGTTCAAACTTCAAACTGCAAACACCAACAAAGCAACAAGCACGCACCTTAGCATTTTGAGAGCACAAGTAAAAAGTATTTTGTTATCGGGAGAAAACAAGGAATTCGTCCACGTACCCCCCTCAGCAAGTCACTTCACTGCATACCGATCCACGAGATATAGTAATCAGGCAAAATTCCTTCCCTCCCTCTCCCCCTCCCTCTCCCCCTCCCTCTGCCAATTAAGTTGTGTGCCCTTACCCAGTTGCTGAACGACATAGCGTCCCAAGAATCCAGTTGCACCAAATACTGTGGCCACAAGCCCACTGCATCGTCACCAGAGCAATCACCAACACCACCACCACTGTCACTGGAGATATCAAATATAAATTGTTATATTAATAATATATTATAATTATATAATAATAATAAATGGCAGAGAAGTGAAGTCATCAAATATAAATGAGGGAAGGGATTAACAGAAAACGGCCACCAATAGAAAGTAGACTTGTTTAAAATCAAAAACAGAAACTGCCACCGAGACGGATGGAAACGGTCACAGAGAGTGAAACTTCACAGAAAACTCCAACATCATCCCCACATTCGCAGTGAGAGAAATGGATCGTCTTTAGCCATAAGAACACATATTGCCAACAGCCATGAGAGACACGGCACGGCAGAGACAAAAGCCAGAATGTTTTACAACTTGAGTAAATGACTGCAGGGAAAGGAGGGTGGGGGAGGAGGAAGAGGGGGGGGGGGGGGGGGGGAGGGAAGGCAGGGTTGCAGGATACCCACAACAGAGAGAGGGAGGGGTTACAGCAAGCAGAAGCACCCTGCTTGTTTTTACCCCTCCCTCTCTTTGTGGACCTCGCCAGCTTGCTTTGCCTCCATGTTCACCATGCAACACCCACTACCAAAGGATATACATGTGTGTGCGTGCATGCGAAAGAGAGAGAGCAAGCGAGAGCGAGCGAGAGAGAGAGAGGTGTATGCAGAGTCTTATAATGACCAGGTGTTGTATTTGGGGAAAAGTCCCCCACCACTTGATTGAACTCATGGCTGACGATCAACACATTCAGGGCAGAAAAAAACAAAAATCTGACTGACGGTCAACCCATTCAGAAAAAAAAAAAAAAAAAACGTTGACCGACTGTCAAAAAACCCATTCGAAAGAAATTGACAGACGGTCACAAACCCCATTCAAAACTTTTGACTCACGGGTAAAAAAGAAAAACCGTTCAAAAAACGGTCAACTCATTCAAAAAACTTTTGACTGCCTGTCAAAAACCCCATTCGAAAGAAATTGACGGACGGTAAAAAACCCCATTCAAAAACCTTTGACTCACGGTAAAAAAGAAAACCCGTTCAAACTTCAAAGAACGGTCAACTCATTCAAAAAAAGTTATGACAGACTGCAATGAACCCAGACAGATAAGAAGCTCATGAATGTCATGTTACAAGTCAAACAGATTCTAACTCAGCGCGGCAATGATGTCTCCAGAAGTTGCGTATGTGTCCATGCTCGAAATACGTGCAATCCGTCATTATTGCTGCGCTGAGTTTAGAGAGACATTATTGCTGCGCTGAGTAGAGAGACATTATTGCTGCAGTCTCCAGATGAGATTCTCATGAATGACCAAGAAGAACTGCATTGCTTACGAGTTCTTGAACTTGAGAGAAGAGAGAGAGAGAAGGGAGAGAAGAGAGAGAGAGAGAGGAGGAGGAGGAGAGTTTCCGCGAGAATCGAGTCCCTCCTCAAGCCCACTTCCTCGTCGGGCATCTCCTTCTCTGACCACATCAGCAATGCAGTTCTCCTGTGCCGATCTCTGACATATACAATGAGCAGGTCACAACAGCGCGACCAGCCTCCATCCACGTCAGCATCAAACGGGGAGGATGGTCCAGATCGCCCTCACCTTCTTGGAGACGAGCAGCATATCACACACGACGTCACAAGTAAGTGCAGGTAAGCTTCCCCTCATCAGACACACACACCAATCTCACAGTCCAGATCCTCCTCCTCCTCGCCCATACACTCCTATCAATATCTCAATCTATACGCGACTATGGCCGCAACAGCATAATCTCCCTCGAGGCTGGCGCGCCCACTACCAGTATCTGGTGCCAGCATACCGCTCCAGCAGCCAGCCTTGCACCACAAAGCAGCATCGAGCCAGCGCAAGGCAGAATGACCTCCAACCAGGTGCTGGGTCAACTTTACAACATTGACTAATGCTAATAAAAAAAAGAAATAAAACCCTCTGGTCTCCTCGGGTCGACGGCTCGGATGAATTGGAAGCCAATGGCCTGGATGCTGCGCACTTGCAGATTTCCCACGTGTCCCACTTGGGCCGGATTCTTCTGGATACCTGCAGACGACCAATGATGTGCATCTTATCGGCGGTCGTCGCTGACCAGCAGGTTGACTTTGACTTTTGGGCCTGGAATCCCGTGCTGGGGTTGAACGTTGACTTTCCTAGAGTCAACTGCCGCTCATAGGGCCTCTAAATGTTATTT